TCTGGTACGGAGAGTAGACACCAAAGTTGTCGTCTCTGATGGTGCTTTTGGTAGGCAGAGTAGGCTTTGGAGCACCGGAGCAAAAAATGGGAGGTGCACGCAAAGAGAGTAACAAAACTCAGAGGTGCGCGTAGAGAGAAGAATATTCGTGATGTAGGCAGAGAGAAGAAGACAAAGAATAGAATGGAAGTGAAAGGGATAGACACATAAGTAACGTGAGGGCTATTGTTCAAAATGTTATAATTTAATGAGAGGTTAAACAACAAATATTGAAAGTTTCTTATAAAATAAAATGTCTAATAAAAATAAAACATGGCATCATTTGTATAGTCTTAGTCAGAGAGGGCATTGATACCCCCTAAACAAAACTTGCACCAAAGGAAATGCCAAAGGGTAAGTTGTCTTGGAGAAATAGGGAATTTTCCAGCAGAATTGGTGTACAAAGATAACATTGCAGAAAAAGGAAGAAACTACCAAGAATGTAAATCATAATGAGTGAGAGATTGAGAACTTGACTACCTGAGATACACAATATAGCGTGGTTGGATGATGATCAATTTATGAATGGATGCTTATTTGTTGTTGTGGTATTTGGAGTGGTGTCTATCGTGAAATATATGAAGATGGGAAGGTTGATTACATTCTAAAGGTCATAAAACTTTTTGTGGGCTTGCTTTTATGAAGTATATCAAGTAGGGATGGAGTTTTACAATTGGGTATATATTGCATGCTACGATGTCTAAAAGAGTGTAAGGAGGTAGTTTTTTTTTTTGTATTTTTATAATAAGGCATTTTCGGATAAAAATAATTTGAACTTTATAAGTTTAAATTATTTTTAACCAGAAAAATTGTAATATAATAGTTTTCTTTTTTATATGGAATTATGGTACCTTTACAACGATTAATATATAAAAGTTTGTTAGACGATAAAAAAAATGTGAATAATAATAATTGGATCACCCAAATTTAAATCAAACAACAAAAGTTCTAATGCATATTTTCTAACATCTTTCATTAACTAACGAAGTTCTGAAACATGGAGTTCAAATTAAACGATCTCAACAAACTTTATTAATATCAAGAGGAAGGTTTAATATTTTAAGTGTTGATGTGTTCCAAACCTTTTGTTTTTTTTTTTTTACTATTACTAGAGTTTGTGTAGTATAGTTAAAGACAACTAATTAACTACCTCAACATAGAAGCATTCAGGTACATTCTTGGCAGTTATACAAACTTGTATTCAATTCTAATTTATTTTTCTCGCATTTACAACTTCTACTTATTGCTCTTCTTTTATTATTCTAGAAAATTCTTTACATTTTTTTTTGTTATTCACCTTCCAAACACTCATTGAAGTTGTTTGGGGACCCATTGCCAAGGGCAAACTTCCCTCTTCAACATAAATCGCATGATCGTTAGTTTGGAATCATGTTAGAGCTTCAACTAGTTGATCCATGCAGCTAGCATAGAATTTCACGCAATAACACTATTCAAGTTGGTTGTCCGTTGATGGTTTGAATTGAGGGATATAGGTTTAAGCATCTCAAGTGGGGTTGTTAAGGTGGGTTTCCTTAAGCTAACAAGGTCAGTTACTATATTCTTAGATGAGAATTGTTGGACACTATAACACTTTTTTTTAATATATTTTTTATAATTGGTTAAAATTTATAAAACAATTTTGGTGAGTTTTATGTTTTACTTAATGACTCTTTCTCCTGATTTTGTAGCTTATAATAAATTTTAACCATTAATTATGAGTGTATTAAAAAAAGTGTGTTATTAACACTCCTCATTGTTAGATTCATTAAGATGTCTGATCTTTAGTGGTTAGTCTAGAGTGTTTAAAGAGAACATTTTGAGTGGGGTTGTCAACATGGGATTCCTTGAGTGTAAAAAACTTGGTATGTAATACTTTAACATGATGAGAATCTTATGTGAGACTTGAAGTTTAGATATACATCACTATTTGTGGCTAAACTAATAAAAATCTTGTGCACTCTCTTCTATCCCAAGCTTTTTAATTGCTTAATTTATTCTATATTTTAATTATAAGAGATTTACTTACTCCAAGAGTAATTTTACTTAAACTTTAATTATGAGAGATTTTAACTTATTTCAAGAATAAGTTTATTTGGACTTATTCCACTTAATAATTTATGTTCTATATCAAATTTAAACAATTCAACCATGATATTAAAAAAAATTAATGCATAAATTAAGTTTTTAAAGTTTTAAAAAAATTTGATAATTATTTGATGTTTTATTTTATTAATTCAAATTGACAGATAAATATAAAAATATTTTATACATTGATTTAAATTAATGAAACAAAGTATCAAATAATTTTTAAATTTTTAAATTTTTAAAAAATTTGTAAACTTGATTTATATATTAAGAAATTTTAATTCAACACTCGTACATTAAAACTTGATATATAACATAAATTATTGAGTGGAATAAACTTACTCAATTATTTCTCTTTAATTATATAGGAATTGACTATTTTCTCTGGTGTTCATTATCCTTGTTTGAATTTTATCCTTCACAATTAAAGGTTGGGGGTGCGATTTTAATAGAACTTAATTCGCTCAACCTTTACATAGTGCATAACAAAGCAATTTTCCTTCCTAAGTTAAAAATTTCAATGTCGATAATCCCACCATTGTGAAGGGAATCCTCACCTTTGAAGAATCCAATTAGAGTAGCAGTATTGTTAATATACAGGCAGCCCAATATATTTTTAGACTTAAAGTAAGTTGTGATATGAGACTTATATAAAATTTTAAAATGTGATTGTAAAGTCGTCGGAAGTCTGTTAAAAAAAATATAACTAATTTTTCTGCAACAAAGTTTGAACTCTATTTATCAAGAAAAAAAGATGCACCTTAATTAACATTATGCTAAATTAACTACTAATAGTACAAATACTAATACTATATATTTTTTAGAGGCCCAAAATAAGAATTTGTCTAATTTTATGCTTAGACCAGTCCTGTCAATATATTAAAATTAAAGTTTGATTTAGTTAATATTTCAAAGTAAGGATCTGCTGAAAACAAGGAAAAGGAAGATGAAAAGAATAAAAATTTATTTTTTTATATTTAATAAATTATGAGACAACTTTTTTATCTTAAATACAAAATATAAAAAAAAAAATTATCATTTAATAATTACATTATCTTTTTTTTATTTTGTCTCTCTCACCATTATCATTCTTGTCGCTATTATTATTATCATTATTATTGTTATTATTATCGTCATCATTATGGTTATTACTATCGTTATAATCGTATTAAGAATATTAATATGAATAGTATATTTTAAGATAATTTATAATAAAAGTGTATTCAGATAAATTTTAAATTATTTTTTTATATTATTCATTATTCACCATCCAGTGCGTATGATAATTAATTATCTTACAACTTGTGAATTTGTATTATGTTGTTGTCTCGGTATTGCACCTTACCCAAAGTGCTTTAACATTAATAAATAAATAAACAATGGTAGTTTAACATTAATTATCCAAACACACCTCATGGATTATATATCAAAAAGAGAAAAAGAAAAATGAATTACTTTTTATTAAATTCATATTAGTAGGAAAAATAAAAATAAAAGCCAGAAGTGTGCATGCTCTCCAACCGGTAGTTACTACTGCAGTTGCTGGAACGAAACTATCCCAATAAAACTCGATGGAGAGGTCTCACCATTCTCTTCAATCAGAGTTGACACTTTTACCTAAGAAAGTGGCTAACCAATGGAACAGCTCATAACAACGGAACCTAGTTATGATTGCCTTTTTTATTTATATTTTCTCAGTCGCATTATGGTCACAAATATGTGAAAGTGATATTCGTGCATCACATTTAATATTTGGACAAAAATTATATTAAATTGAAGTGTTATATTTGCAATATAAATAAATTTGACGTCCAAATAACTTGTCGGATTAACTTACTGGGCGTTTGATAACTTCCTAATTTAAAAAATAATGACTTATTTTCCCCCACGAAACGCTCTCGAATGTGCAATGCATTGAAAGCAACCATGCGACGCACATAAAAGGGCAATGTTTATAGGTGTGTTCCCTTTACGTAAAGGCAATATACAGCTAGAAAGAACAGCAAAAGCGTTCCAAATATTTGTGTTTGGTTATCATATCACAATTTTGTTCAAAATTATTTTTCAAGGTTGCTCTAAAGTAAGAAAACGACTTACTGCAACCAAAGATTCGTCCAAGTTCTGGAACTCAGGTTGCATGAGAATTTCTTTGGATACAAACTTAGAAGTAGTTTTGAAAATTTCTATACTGAGAAATACTCTTTATTTTTAGTAGAAAAACTCTCAAAAATACTTTTAATTTGTATCCAAATAGACTCTAAGTCAACTGAGGTACCACTTATACTCCTATGCTCAGAACATTAACAAAGATCATTGATAAATCTGAGTATACACCAAAGAGTGGCTACCCCTACCCTCAAAGTGCTTCCACCATCGAGCCAACAGGCCGAACTTGACTTGGGCATGAAGATGCTTATAACAAGCATAAAATTTTCACCTCGGGAGATTTTCTCTACCTTGATTCAGCTTTCATATGCATCCCCCTCACCCAGACATAATGCGTGTTTGGATTTGTGTTGATGTCCATGCTAACAGCTTTTCCACGTCAAATGAAAACAAAAAAAACATGAAAGCTACTGTGTGTAGCTTTTTGCTTGAAGACGAGGAACCAAACACACTAATAGAATCAGTGTGGGGCAATCCCTTAATTATATTTGGGATATTAGCACCGAGGCAGTTATGGTAAGGCCATGGCATATTTATATTGGCGATGCCACTTGCCAGTACATGTGAAACAGAACAACCAACGACAAGAAACTGTCTGCGGGGAAAACGTTGTGTCCAACAATGCCCGTTTACTAAGGTAGCATAGGCCTGCACATCTGTCTTAGGACTTCACTAAATTGATAACTTTGTTGTAAAAGTGTTTTTCGATCTTAAATCTTAACTTCATCGAGGAACAAATATTCCTGGACGAATATGGATATTTGGAACTTGTCTCTGCATAACATTTGACTATACCTTGTTCAACTACAGTTGCAAATTCCAACAAACTTCTTTCTTTTTGGGGTATGGGAAAGACAGAATAAAAAAAAGGAGACCACCTAGAAAGAAGCTACAACCTAGCCAATAAGGCTTGTTAAGTATCACAAAAAATGCAAAGCTGAGAGAAGGTTGAGGATCCTTTGAATTGGTGAAAAGTCTGTACATATTTTATTCCCTTCACGCGGCATGTGCGAGTCACACCTCCCAAGCACGTTTGAAGATCATCCGGAAATCACAAGTCGTATGCCATAATTTTGGGCTGAAGGTAAAGCAATTCTGAACGAGATTCAACACTTCCGTAGGGTCTGACTCCAGTTTGTGGTGACAATGATCCCGGGCAAAATGGATATCAGTTCTCAATGGACAGAGTTCTGCTTGCATAATAACCAACATTGAAAGCAGTCATAGAGCCCACAGAAAAAGGGTTCTGAGAGTCAGCATGGTCTGTTGAACATACCCTCACACCATTCGGAAGCCATTAGATTGAGTAATGAATTGTATAGCACATACTCATGCTAAGAGAATGGTTCATTAAATTTTATATTTTCTCATGAGAAATAAGACATCATAATACACAGGAAAAAATGGCACAAGAATGGTTAAGTGCAGTATGCATGAGGTGAATGCATCTCATTGGTTCAACTAATCCTACTCTCTCAGATAACTATCTTACAAATAAAAAATAATATAACTGGCAGGGGGTATGAACACGGAACCAGTCAACATCCAACACCTTATCAAGAACCAAAACCAATCAAATAATATATCGCAGGCCCCATGTAATGGCGGAAAAAGAGTGACCTGAAGCTAATTTCAAGGTTGGGCAAATATCTTCCTGCCAATCATCACCGAATCTGTTATATCCAACTCAATATGAGAATTCATGACCTCGAAGTGAAATATATTTCTTCACCCATATGGCAATGTCCTCAACACAAACCTGGGCCTGAGGGCTTTTGATAAGGACATCAAGTGTTGCAAATTCATGCACTGCATCCTTATACTCAAGAACAGGTGCATCAACATTCACCTTCCGGAGCTCCTCTGAGTAAGCAATGGCACGATCCCTCATCCAGTCATGTTCCGCCACAACTGTCAACGTTGGAGGCATCAACTTTAAAGGAGGACCCCGGCCTGGGACAAGGGGATTAGCAGCTGGATGGTCCAAACTAAATTCCTCCTCAGGTAGGAAAAGTTTCCAGGCAACCGTACACATGGCCTTGTCATAGAAGTAAGAGTTTGCCAACTTTATTTCAGAACGTGTGGGAACACTTCCAATGAAAAATGGATACATCAGGACCTGCGCTACCACCTTGACAGGATCCAGAAGTTTGCCTCCTTCCACAGCTTTTCGAGCCACATAGTCCGCAATATTGGCACCACAACTCGCTCCAAGAAGAACACATCTGTTTCAATATTAAATAAATAAAAATGGTTAAGCACTAAACAAGGGAAGTAAAACACTCCATGAGGAGTATCTTATAACTGGAACCAAAGGAAGCATGACAGGACTAAATTAATGAGATCACAATACAAAAGCCAACTTAGAAAACTGTTAATTTTTATTGCACATATACAAGGGCCCTTTTGGAGGAGAGATTCTTGGGAACTCTAAGAGGATTACACGACTCCACTAAGAAAGTAATACATGGAACAATAAATCATAATGCTAATGCCACTGGGTCCAAAATAAAATATTATTAAATAATATCTGAATGGTTATAAAACTAGCTACAGTGTTCCATCCAGTACATTAGGATTTTTTTCTTTCAGAAAGGTATTGTATTCCAGTATGGTCCATCATGCCCAAAGGAGATAATAGCTAAATTCTTGGTCAAACAATCATCTTTTCAATTCACCCTATCATTATTTGAAAGAACTACTTTGAAGAAAAAAATTATGATATTGATGGATAAATATAGTTAGTTAAAGATTCCCTAACCAAGCTCCATGGATTAAATATCGAGTTTTGTTAAAAGGAAGATATACAAAAAGTCCATTTAGCATGGAAGATATAGTTGAGATAGAGTGGCAGACAACTGAAAGAGTAGTAGAGAAGGGTGCCCTAGTGCATTAGGCTCACACCATTGTAGAAATATTGAAAATTGATACAGACTAACAAAATACAGTAAACAAACCATCAGACAGAAGGAAAGGATGAAAGATATCCTACAAGAAAAACATTCACAAAATGATCTGTGCTAGCCAACAAGTAACCTCTACACCAGACTCTGAAGAACATCTGGCATGCCACCATCAATTCATCACTTTATCACATCTCTTTCAACACGTTCTATTTTTCAGCATATGTATATCTTGTTAAATAAGTTATAACTGACCTAAAGATACATTCTAAAGTGGGGGGAAAAAAAAAAGTACCCATTGGGCAAAATCACATCAGATAAAATGGAAAGGGACACATAATGCTAATATAAACCATATTAGAGAAACTCATTCTCTCTAGTTTCCAATGATTGTGACAACTGAGAATCCCAACCTTAAATATGAACCGGATCAACATGTCTGTAACCAGAAAATGCACTAAAATGTGATTTTAGCGCAACTAAAGTCAGTCCTAGACCACACTTGAGATCGAAAGTAGTAAATCAGTAAAAACAAAAAAGCAGGTTAAGTAACAAATTTTTGCCCAAATCTAAAACTTCCACCAAAATGTGACCTTATCAAATATATCAATGTCCCCGTCACGGAATGCTAGTCATTTATTAGATCATATATCTAATTCGAGTCCACTGCTACCAAGTAATCAATATAAAATTTGGATTTCAGCTTAAACTTGTATCAACCAAAATCATAAGATCAATACTCGCTACTAGTCTCTACCAACTTCCAATGTAAACTCCCCTCTCCCAATTCAGGCATCCCTTGACCCACCCAAGGTTTTAAAAAATAATCTGCAACTGCAAAATCAAGGTTTTTGGGAGTTTCCACGACCGCATTTTCCATAATATCAAGGATCCTAACAAAACCATGACCACAACGTAAAACCTTGAACCTACCATACTCCACACTCTAAAAATGAACCACTATCCATAAAAAGAGGCAACGAATGAAAATACATCCAAAGCTCCACACACAAACACACACAACACCAACAAAATGCAGTTCAGTGACAATTCAAGCACAAGGATCATCATACAATACCAAATTCCAACCTAAATCCCGAAACCCTCAATCAGATAGAATCAAAACAACAAACACACAATCACAAAAATAGCAACAACCTGGAAGGATCGGCATGAGAAGCCAACCAAGGCTCAACCACTGAAGCCCCAAAGGAATCAACAATATGCTTATGAGAATCCGATTTCTTGAAATCACCACCACCACCACCCCTCCCAACCCCCATGGACTTACTACACTCCGCCAAATTCGCCTGCTTCGCAAGCCAATTCAGCACCTTCACGCCGTCCTCGAACGCCGCCGGGTACCGGTTCTCCGGCGCCAGCCGGTACCCCACCGCCACCACCACCACGTCGCAGAGCTTCGCCACCCGCCGGCAGAAAAGATCGTTCGCCACCGAATCGCTCCCGCCGCTCACCCAGCCGCCGCCGTGGAACTGCAGCACCACCGGCAGCCTCCGCCGCTCCCCCTTCCCCGGCGCGTAGCCCCGGTACGTGCCGCCGCCCATCAAGTTCAGTCCCTCGACGCCGGAGCCTCCGCCGTAGCTCCGTCGGCGCTGTGGATCGGAGTTGGGGTTGGGAGGGGTTAGGGCCGAGTCGGGCAGGAAGATTCGGATAGCGAGAGAAGTGAGCGGATCGATGTGGATGTCTTTGGTGGCGACGCCGTCGGCGAAGGAGGGGTTGGCGGCGGCGACGGTTTCCTCGGGTCGGGTGGTGACTCCGAAGGTGTTGGAGTGTTGTTGGGTTGGGGTTTGGATTCGGTTCTGCAAACGGTGCTTCAAGAGGAACTTGAAGAACACGCTGTAGAGCTTCACAGCCACACTTGGCATTTCTCTCACTACTGTTACTACTTCTTCTTCACAACCAACCACTTTTTTTTTTATTTAATTTGTGGGATTTGAGTGTTGAAATTGAAATTGAGATTGGATCGCATGGGTTAGGGTTTATCTGAGATGAATTCGTGACGGTGGTTGGAATCAATGGCTGGGCGAGAGGCAGAGATGGGGATACATACATGCAGATTCACGATCATGGTCGCTGCTTTCGCCTTTCTTTATTGTTTTCCGATTTATGATTTACTTACTACTGCTCCATTCTCTATTTTTTAAATAATTTTAAATAAAAATAAATAAATAAGTGAACAGTTGTTTAATGAGGATAAAAAAAGATATTGAAGGAAAAAAAAGTTATTTAGGTTTATAAATAAAATAAAAGAGGGTTAAATAGTTGGTTTGAAAACAAATATATAAGAGGTGTTTTTTTTTATATAATGGTATAAATTTTTAGTTTTTTTCTTTCTTTCTCTTTTTTGCAATTTTTGAAGAGTCGTATACTTTGAATGATTCATTATTATCATTCAACTAGAATGTTCTATTTTCTAATAGTTTTCAAACGCGTCAAACTTTTACTAGATATATATATGTGGAAAAGACAAATAAGATATAATTATATGATCAAAAAATAAGCTTATGAATAACTTTATTTATAAATCTATAAATTTAGATGTATTTATATCTATACCGATATATAAAGAAGATATTATTTTTAGTAATCACTTTATTTTTATATTTTTGTTGACTATTATACTCTGTAATTTTAAAAAATTAATCTATTATTATTTATATTAGAAGATACTCTTTTTAGTAATCACCTTGATCTTCATATTTTGTTGACTATTATATCTTTTAATTTAAAAAAAATAAACTATATTATTTATACTTATTATAAAAGGGATATAGGTTATTTAACCGTTTTTTGTCTTCATTTTTTAGTACACCATTATACCCCTTAGATGTAAAAAAGAAAAATCATATTCTATTTGAATAATTACATACAACCTTCTAATATTTTGTTTGTTTATAATTATGAGAGACACGAAGTGTCTCGACCTCTCTGATTAATATATGAAAGGGATATTCTTTTTAGTAACTGTTCTTACCGGAATTTGTCGTGTGCACAATCTTCTGAGTAAGATCGGTGAGCCTCCTTCACTGGTACGCTGGTGCTCCAAGATGGGGGTGGTACCTGCAAAAGAGACTCCGATGCTAAAGTTAGGGTCTGTATGAGTAGTAGTATCGTATATGTAATGCACGTACCTTGGTGTGATTTAGGGTTGCTTTTGGGCCTTGGACCTGAGGTGAGGTGTAATATGATCAGATAACGGATCTCGTCTAGGGCGAGATCCTCGGGAATCAGTTATGATTCACCTACATACTGAGCTGATGTCACGCGGCGCACGTCCGAGGTCGGCTTGTGTTGTGGTGTCGAGCTTGGAGCTCGGTTTCGCAGCACGGACAGTACACTAGCCCCCCGAGCTCCGAAGACCGTTGGTCGAGGAGTTAATGTCAAGCTCGTTGGGGAAAGTGGCTTTTCACATGTGTCGCGACCGTTCATTTCCCAGGAGTGCGCAAGTGACGTGCCATGGGAAATGACGGTTATGCAATGATGAATTTGCAATTAATTGTGCTGTCAGGCGTGCCCTTGAGTTGACACGTGGTGCGGCCGTTTTGATTTTTGGGAGAAGACTTTCTTTTCTCTCACTCGCGCCTCTTTGCCTTCTTCACTTTACTCTTCTTTCAACTTCTTGCGTACGTCGCTTCCCTCCCTGAAAATGATTATCAAGAATATCTTCAATGGAAAGCTATGAGTCAAGCTCAATCCTCCTCTACCGCTACTATTTCTACAGCCTATATTTCTCAATTAACTGCAAGTCAAAGTCCATGGATCATTGATTCAGGTGCCTCTGATTACATAGCTGGTAATGACTCTATGTTTTCTTCCATGTCTCCTCTTAAATCACTCCATCTTATTACCTTAGCAGATGGATCCAAAATTGCTCCCAAAGGAATTGGTCAAGTTTCCCTTTCTCCCTTGTTAAATTTAAAATCTGTTTTGTTTGTCCCTAATTGTCCTTTCAATTTAACCTCTTTGAGTCAGTAGAGACCACCAAATTCATGTCCTACGCCAATCATCCTGCCCGTACCAAGTTCCTGAATGACACAAGATTCAGCATTAAAAGTCTTTGAACAATTTAAGGACTTAGTCAATTGACTCAAAGAGGTTAAATTGAAAGGACAATTAGGGACAAACAAAACAGATTTTAAATTTAACAAGGGAGAAAGGGAAACTTGACCAATTCCTTTGGGAGCAATTTTGGATCCATCTGCTAAGGTAATAAGATGGAGTGATTTAAGAGGAGACATGGAAGAAAACATAGAGTCATTACCAGCTATGTAATCAGAGGCACCTGAATCAATGATCCATGGACTTTGACTTGCAGTTAATTGAGAAATATAGGCTGTAGAAATAGTAGCGGTAGAGGAGGATTGAGCTTGACTCATAGCTTTCCATTGAAGATATTCTTGATAATCATTTTCAGGAATCTTCCTGTCAACCTTTTTTGATTGATCAGACTTGGACAAATTTGTTGTCTTTTCTGGAAAACCATGAAGAGAGTAACAATTCTCTTGAGTATGACTCATCCTTTTGCAGTGGGAACATTGAGGACAACCACTTCTACTCCCTCTTCCTCGGTTTCCACGACCACCTCTTCCCCTAGAAGAGACCATAGCCTTCAACAATGGCAGTAGAATTTTCTCTCTTGGCTTCAGTTGGAACTCAGAGTAGTCTAGTAACTAGGTTGTCCATTGAGGGAATTTCATGACCGGTCAGGAGTTGGTCACGAACATGATTAAAGTCTGAATGCAATGTTCGTAAAATCATCACCATATATAGCCTATCAAGTTTTTTCTCCATTCCTTCTAATGACTCATCATCAAGAAATAACTTTAGTTCTTCCATAGTAGCTTGAGCTTCAGCCACATCAGAAACTATATCATGACTAGTTTGTCTCAAAGAGGCTAATTTTTGTGCAGCATCATATAGCCTTTGAATGTCATTAGCATAGATATTTTGAGCCTTCTTCCAAAAAGAGCAACAAGTTTTGAAGGCTCTAAGTGTTCCCAGTATATTGGGCTCCATAGATTGCCACAATACAGCACACAATTGAAAATCAACTTTCTTCCACTAAGCTTTATTCTCTATTGACCCCTCAATATCTTCCTTTTCCAAGTGGTCATGGTGTCCTTGACCAAGAAACCAAAGTTCCACAGATGCAGCCCATGACAGATAGTTCTTCCCATTTAACTTTTCGGTAGTAATGGTCGGAGTACTAGCAATAGCAAGAGCCGTTGCCTTTTATTATGCTTTCTTGTCTTTTGATCTGGGGTGGTTTTTCGCAGGCAGGAAATGCTACCAGGGTGGCGACCTCCGGCGCTGGGCCAGTTGCTCCCGTCGTCGAAGAAGTGGCCCCAGCCACCGAGCGCGCCTCCCATGCTGCTGGGGTAAGCAGTGTTTATTTGTTTTTGAGGCTCCCCCGTCCACTACTGCAGCCTCGGCGCCGCCTTCGGGCTCGTCACAGGGGGCTTCCCGGAGCCGATACTTGGCCCATCGCTTTGGGAAGGGCCTTTCGAAAGTGCGGCTGGACCACGTGAGTGCCTCAGCCGACATGGACTCGCTGTGGAGCTCGGGGGTGACCGTTGAGAAGTTCTTCCCTCAGGGTTCGTTGAGCTCTGAGGACCAGGGGCTGATAGAGGAGGTCGGCCCTGAGGATAGTTTTGATGCTGCTCAGGTTCTGCTGCAGAGGACTATGAGCATCCTAGGCCACTGGAAACCGAGGTGGGCCCAGCAGCAGGAGGCCTTGGCCAAGCAGCAAGAGGAGCTGGCCAAGCTGAGGGGCCGGCTTCAACCTTGGAAGGATGCGAATAAGATTCTGAGGGAGGAGAACAGGGTTCTTAGCGCTTCCTTGATGAGGCGAAGCGGCGGGAGGCCGAGCTCCGATCTGCACGGGGTGACCTTGCGAGGGCGCAGAAGTCTCTCGAGATCGCCTTGCAGTCTAACGAGACTTATGCCTCTCAGGTGGGGCACCTGCAGGGGCTCGTCGCTTTCTCTCGAGGCCGCGCTCGCTCCTTAGAAGATGAGGTAACGTCTTCTCGTGGCCAGGTGCGGGCTCTAGAAGATGTTGAGACCTCCCTCAAAGGGGAGTTGGCGACAGCGGCTGAGGAGCGCCTTCGCAACGAGGTCGTTCTTGGTGGCCGGGAAGACGAGATCGCATCCTTGAGGGCGGAGCTGGCAAAATTGACGGCGGAGAAAGGCAGAGGCTCGCGGAGGTCGAGCGCTCCGTGGTGGTGGAGCACAAAAGGGGTTTCCAGAAGGCTGCTCGCCAGGCACGACTCCTCGCTCCCGGGTTCGACTTTTCCTCCATGCATGTGGAGAAGGTCATCCGCTTTGGGAAGCTTGTCAAGGAGGTCGACGTCGAGGACAGCTCCAGCAGAACGCCTCTGCGTAGGCCCGTTTTGTAATAGCCTAGTTTAGCTTTCCCCTTGGTTTAATTTTCTGATTTGAACTCAAGTGTTGAACTCTGGGAACTTTGCCCGTATATGTATATATTTTTTGTTGCCCCTATGTGCTTCGCGTTTGAGTTTTGCTGTTTTGCGCGTTCTTGGACACGTTTGGTGTTTGTTCTACGCTTTTATATGTGGCGATACTTGGCTTTGAGTTGGCCATGTTGAGATAAGATGTCGACCTCGATTTTTCGTTAGGTGAATTTTTCGAATTCGACCTTTATTTACTAGGGCCGAGGTTCGAATGCGACCTGTTAAGTTAATAGTGTCGGGGTTCGGATTTGACCTTAAATCGACGTAGAATAAATTATGCTAAGGTTCGAATTTGACCTTATATTCTTGTTACGTTGTGAGGGTTCGAACTCGACCTTGGATAAGTGGTTCGTATTCGACCTTAAGTTTAGGGTCATGTGTATTTCGCGAAGGTTCGAATTCGACCTCGGGTATGCGGCTCGTATTCAACTTTTAACGGAAGTGTCGAGGGTCGTATTCGACTTCGGATATAGGAAAATTGGTTTGGTTAAGGTTTGAACTCGACCTTAGATTTAGAGTGGTGTGTGTCTCACCGAGGTTCGAGCTCGACCTCGGAAATATGGTTCGTAGTCGACCTCAAATTTTGAGGTATATGAGTTAATGAAGGTTCAAACTCGATCTAAGCAGACGTGTTAAAGTTCGGACTTGACTTTAGGTGTGAACACTGAGGTTCGGCCTTGACCTCGAATTTTGCTTACTTGAGGTTCATAGGTGACAAGGTTTGAATTCGTCGAGGTTCGTATTCCTTCTCGGAAAGTCGAGGTTCGGACTCGACCTCAGAATAGGTTATTTTAATTAAGGTTTGAACTCGACCTTTAACGAGGGCATCGAGGTTCGTATTCGACCTCGAAATGTCGAGGTTCAGACTCGACCTCAAATTTTGGATAGGTTATTTAATTAAGAGAATTGGCTGCTGCTGGTGTGTGGGTTTGCCCTTGCTTGCAATCATACCAGGCAATGAGCACTGTCTTCACTAGCTCAGCCTTCACTTGCTTGCAGTTGACCGCCCTCTTTTTTGTTGACATCGTTGCATGGGCTTGTCTAAGTCTAATGTATTATCCTTTTCTGAGTTTTGAGATCGTGTTATATCTTTGAGCAAGTTTCAATATTTATATACGAATGGTATAATCTTTTCTTTTTTAATTATCTAATTATCCTTAAAATTTGTAATATATATTCTGTATTCAAAGTATATTAAATATACAAATAAAAAGATATAATATTTTAATATTTTATTTAATTCAAATTATGTTTTGACTTTTACTATGTTTCTTTATGTTAAAATACTTTTAGGTTTACGTTTTTAGTTATTATTCATGAATTTTTACTTTTATGTATCTTGGTTGTATATAATATACTATATAATTGATCATGAATCTTATGATTCATCATACGATTTGATTCACAATTCAAAAAATAGGTCTACCGAATCATGATTTGAATCCCAGTTCAATTACCAAGCTCTGAAATGATTACTGTTTTTGATCTTCGATGAGGCATTGTGGATATTTCTCCAATGCATATGTATTCTTTATTTGTTTGTACTGCTGACAACTTTTCCTGGTTCAGGCTTACTGCTTCTGCACTTTAATGAACTATTAATTTCAAGGATCTTTCCTTTACCATTATACTTTATTGAACCAGGCCAAGCTTGCAGCTGTGAAGGAAAGATTTGGACGAGAGATCCACATTTTTGAAACATCAACTTTTGCTTCATCATCAAATGCTCCATTATCCAATGGTAATGGCACCTTATCTTTGACAATCCCAAGGCCCTAATACTTTTAGGTTTACGTTTTTAGTTATTATTCATGAATTTTTACTTTTATGTATCTTGGTTGTATATAATATACTATATAATTGATCATGAATCTTATGATTCATCATACGATTTGATTCACAATTCAAAAAATAGGTCTACCGAATCATGATTTGAATCCCAGTTCAATTACCAAGCTCTGAAATGATTACTGTTTTTGATCTTCGATGAGGCATTGTGGATATTTCTCCAATGCATATGTATTCTTTATTTGTTTGTACTGCTGACAACTTTTCCTGGTTCAGGCTTACTGCTTCTGCACTTTAATGAACTATTAATTTCAAGGATCTTTCCTTTACCATTATACTTTATTGAACCAGGCCAAGCTTGCAGCTGTGAAGGAAAGATTTGGACGAGAGATCCACATTTTTGAAACATCAACTTTTGCTTCATCATCAAATGCTCCATTATCCAATGGTAATGGCACCTTATCTTTGACAATCCCAAGGCCCTAGTAAAGTTTGCATTTAAAATTTGAATTATTGATATTTATATGTTGAAATTTTCTCAAATATCATGATTAAACTTATATTTCCTGTTGGTGTGTTGAAGGAGAGGAGACCGATGACTTCTATGAGTTTACTGCTGAAGATTATTACAGACTTTTGGCTTCTAAGAAGGAAGGTAATCTAATCATTCCATAATATTGAAAAAGCCATTTAAGGTTATGCATTTGCATTGATCTACAGTTTCTCCAATTCACTGTGTGTGTGGATAATTTTTTTATTAATGGACTAATGGACCGACTCTGTCTCTTGGCTTATTTCGGCTTGTACTGCGCCAGCATTTTGCTGGGAGCCCGGGTGTGACTCAGTGCGAGCTCCTGAACCTCGACCTCTACCGCGTCCTCGACCCCCATAGCCGCCTCTATTACCCTGCTATCGCTGGATGTATTGGCCGAGGTGGCCCGCTTGAATGAGCTCCTCGATGCGATCCCGGAGTGTGCGACATTCTTCTGTGATGTGACCATGGTTCCTGTGGTACCGGTAGTGCTTAGACTTGTCGGCGCTGTTAGGAGTGTGACCCGGCGGTGGGAGGGCGAGCAGATTGTTGTTGCTGGCTTCCTCTAGGATGTGTACCCTAGGTGCGTTCAGGGGAGTGTAGAAGTCGTATCTCCCCCCTCTGTTTGCCTTAGTCGACTTCTTGAATTGACTGTCGTTGTTGACTTTGATTTTATCCTTATGCCCTTGTTCCGACTTTGCTGGAGCTTTCCCGCGAACCTGGTCGCGGAAGGCGGAGTGCTCCTCCATCTGGATGTATCCGGCCGGGGGGGGGGGGTCTCGGTAGAGATTGTCGACAAAGGGGCCAGCTTTGAGGGCCATGAGCATGGAGTGCAGGGCGACCTTGGGGTTTAAGTTCTGGATCCTCACCGAGATGTTGGAGAAACGCTCCATGAAGGTTCGCAGAGGTTCGTCATCATTCTGCCTGAGGTTGGCCAAAGTAGTGGAGGTTGTGTGGTGAGGTCGGCTGGTGGCGTATTGTGCCATGAACCGCCGGATTAGGGTGCTGAAGCTGTCGATGGACTCAGTGGGTAGCTGGGTGTACCAGTGGAGTGCGGCTACTTTGAGCGAGGTCGGAAAAACCCTACACAAGATAGCATCACTGTTAGTGTAGAGGTTTACCTGGGTTGTGTACAGGTCAATGTGCTCATCGGGGTCTGTCGTGCCGTCATAGCGGTCGAGATGGAGAGGCTTCCATCCACGGGGGAGTGGGGTTTCCATGATGCCGTCCACAAAAGGATGTCGGTGGAAGGTTTCATGGCCTTCCGTGGCAAGAGTGGGTGCTCTGCTAGCGTCTGCGCCCGACTTGTGCGTCGATGCATGAGATCGGTGCGTGGCGGGCCGTGAGGTTGGTGCCCTAGTCGCCGTCCGAGATTGAGAGGCCGAGTGTGCCTCGTCCTCATGGATGTTGCTCTCGTGAGGAGGTCGATCAGAGGGGCCTTGAGGGAGTTGGGCGCGAATGCGCTCATTTTCTTCGCGTAACGCCGCGAGGTCTGCTTCATTGGCTGTCCGCATTGTCGCTAGGTCGGCTTCGTGCTTGGCATGCATGTTGCGCAGGTCAATGTCATGTTGTTGTCGCATCTGTTCGACTTGGTCGATCAGTCTTCTCAAGGCTGCAGCGTCGCTGTCCATGGTGATTGAGTGTTCAGCGTCGTCTGTTACTCGTCTGCTATGGCTTCTGGTGAAAACCATACAGGTGGCCGATAAGAGCTGTCTTGATCGGCCCCACGGTGGGCACCAAATGTTCTTACCGGAATTTGTCGTGTGGACGATCTTCCGAGTAAGATCGGTGAGCCTCCTTCACTGGTACGCTGGTGCTCCAAGATGGGGGTGGTACCTGCAAAAGAGACTCTGATGCTAAAGTTAGGGTCTGTATGAGTAGTAGCCTCGTATATGTAATGCACGTACCTTGGTGTGATTTAGGGTTGCTTTTGGGCCTTGGGCCTGAGGTGAGGTGTAATATGATCAGATAACGGATCTCGTCTAGGGCGAGATCCTCGGGAATCAGTTATGATTCACCTACATACTGAGCTGATGTCATGCGGCGCGCGTCCGAGGTCGGCTTGCGTTGTGGTGCCGAGCTTGGAGCTCGGTTTCGCAGTACGGACAGTACAGTAACCATCTTGATCTTTACATTTTGTTGACCATTATACTCTTTCATTTTAAAAAAATTAAAAAATAATATTTTTTTTATCAAAATCAAAACCTTAAAACTAATGGGCTAATCATAATACTATATCAACATATATTTATTATTTTATTTTTATTTTTTATTTTATTTAACAAAAGCACGAAATGTTTCGACCCCATTAGTTATTAATAAAAGGATTTTTTATTTTGTGTTTATATTTTGGGACAATTTTACTTTTATAACTACCTTTTACAAATTATAATTTTTTTTTATTTTATTTATAAATTTTATTCCATAAGAGTTGTATTTTTAATAATCACCAACTATTATATAATTTTTATTATTTATCATTTTTTTAAAAAATTTACATAGTACCTTTTGTACACTAATTATTAATAAAGATGATGATTTTTTTTTTGTTGTTGTTGTGAGTATTATTTATCGGAAACCAAAATAATATTTATCTTTAATACTTTTTTATTTTGTTTTTATTCTCCTTTTTTACTTTTTTATAAATTTATTTTTTAAAAATTTTTCTCTCTAAATAACTACTCTATATCGTGTAAATTTTACCAATTATTACATCATTTAATAAATTTTAATTGAATAGTTATTTACCAAAAATTCATCGTTAGATTGAAAATTTATTTTTTTGATATTATTTATAAAAAAAATTATATTAGTTTAATATAATTTTACACCATATTTATATATAAAAAAATTGATGTAATATATAGATTTCAAAATATACTAAAATATGAATAATTTGATTAATTATCTTTTAATTTTTGTTCAATTATATAGGGCAATTTGAAGTTATTATTTAACAGTTAGATTAACAAAATTTACTTTTAATATAAAATTATTAAGTAATGTAACAGAGAGAAACATGAAGTACAATTTTTTTAAGGTAGTTTTGATAAAGTTAATGTTATTTGAGTCATTAAGAATTTATGATGAGTTTAAGACTGATGATCCACATAAATCTTATATTTAATCTTATTGTCTTTGTAATTCTTTTCATTAATTCACAAATCGAAGGTCGTATTTATCTTTGGCATACAAATTTTGTTTTACCTTTCAGATAGTATGCATTATAACACTACTCTTTTTATTAATGTCATGTCTATTAATTATGAAAGATACTAACAAGTATCTTTATGGTATGTTTGGATGGAAAATTTTAGAAATTTAAGGAATTTGAAATTTTTAATATTTGAATTTCTTTGATTTTAATTTTCATCATTCTTAAAATATTTTACTTAGATAAGTCAATTTAAATTTCTTAAATTTTAAATTACACAATGATAAAATTGATTTTGAAAATATATTCACAAGTTAAGATTTTTAAATTAAATTTTATAAAATAAATATTAGCCAATTTTAAATATTTAATAATTTTAAAAATTAATATTAAATAATATTTAATAAATTTACAAATAATTTAAAATATTTAATAATTAAAAACATGAAGAGATAATAAATAAGATAAAATATATAAGTGAAACAAGAAAAAAAAATTGAAAATTTTAAAATTCTCATTTTTTTTGAAAAATTTTGAAATTATACTATTTTAAGGAATTTTATAAATACTTAAATTTCAAATTCCTTGCAAATTCTTCATTCAAACAATGTATTTTACCTCAAAATATTTGAAAATTTTTAAATAAATAAATTATTCTATTTAAATTTCTCATCTAAATAAATTATTGGTGTATTAATAAAGAAATCAAAAGTAGAAAATGTTTTATTACAAAGTATGTGCACATTTTTCCATAAAATTTTTAATTTTCAATAAAAAAATTACATATTAATTGTTTAATCAGTATCTAAACAACAACATTCAATTATTCTTAATTTTCATAATAAATGTTGCACCGTGTCTTTCTTTTTATTACTGGTTCTTTTAAAATACATTTTATTTTTATATACCATAAATAAATGGAGTTACCATTGGTATTATGATAAAAATATCTTTTTTATGTATTAAAATTACATTGATGGTAATAAAATTATATTTTGCAATCAAAAGTTCAATATATTTTTTTAGAAATAATGAATAAGTAGTGTAAGTTTTAAGAAGTGCAGACTAAGAAAAACAAACAACATAATATATTTTTATATTAATTTGTTTCAATTATCAAGACTATGTCTAATTCTTGATTAAGTTCGATTATCTTATACAGAGATATAAATATTATTTCACATATCATTTTTTATTTAACCTAAGTATTTTTTTATTTGTCTCTTCAAGTAAATTATCCAAGTATTATGTGAACAACAAGGTCTCTCTAGGCTTCAATATCAAGTATTCTTTAATCAATAAAGTGTTTTCAAATATCAAGCTAAAATACATAGTTAAAGTTGGGTAAAGATAACAAAGATTCGTCTTACCCACAAAACGTGATACAACTTTTAACTACAAGATTTTATACAAAAAGGATGAGTATTATAATGAATTTGTTTGTTAAGTCAGGCGAAGAAATTTCCAACAAGGTTTTAAATATGACAAATATAATACATATTATTACTTCTAACATGTGTGTTAGTGTTTCAGATAAACATAAGAACAGGCCAAACTGAAAAATGAAGTACGTGTTATTACACATACTATGATCAAACCAAACGAAGCCAGGGTGAGCTATATTAGACGATGGTGATCAAAAGCCAAACGAACATACAACAAATATAAGACAAGGTGTACTACAAGTCGAAGTCTTGAAGTATTAGACGAAAGGCCAAAACAAGTATCAAACAAGGCTAAATCAGGAACAAGACAAAGTTGGTTAAGCACCGGATGAAGTCCGCATAGACATCAGATAAAGCTTAATGGTCAACCAGAAGAAGGTCAACAAAGTATCAGACGATGGATAACACAAGACGAAGAAACGTTCTAGACGGAATTCAAAGTCTTCCATCTTCACAACTGACCAGACGAAAGGAAAAGTCAAACTAGACAAAAGGAAAAGTCAAAGTCTACCTCTCAGACGGAGACTCAAATTCTAGATATAGACGAAGAATACTGAAAAGTGTCCGAAGTCCATTATTTACAACAAGAGATATCATATATTGTCTGCACTCATAGAAGAGCACACGAAGTTATCAAAATTGTGAAAAGAAAGAAGAAAAATAGACAAGCGCGAATCCACAAGTCAAAGCATGCGTGTGTTAGAGAAAGTACACCTACTTTTCAGAAAAAGACAACGCCTCTATAGCTACATTGACGGAAAGAGAAAAGAAATACCTAGGTTATGATTGAAAACAGACATAAAAGTGAATGAACTACACAAAAGACTTCACATAACAAAGATTCAGTAAACAAACATTTAATGCAAGATCAAGTGCATTAAATGAAAGATCTATGTAGCCATGAACAAACTACTATCTGCGCCAATGGGAAGCTCCGCTCCAATGAACACTTTCAAATTCAAACAATGGGAAGATTTATCACGAGGCTATAAATATCAAGACCTAACAAGAGAAGTGAAGCAACGAGCAATAAGCAAAAGCGAACGTTAAATCTCTTCCTGTACGGTGTTGTATATCTGTGTAAACCTAAGATAACTTATCTTAGCGAGTGTTGAAACTATCTTATCCTCTTTGTGAGAGTAATACACACACTCAAAACACACATCTTTGTAAAACTAAGGTTGCATACCTTAACGAGTGTAGAAGTTATCCTATCCTCTTTGTGAGAGTTATACACACACTCAAACCATCTATCTATTGTAAAGCCTGAAGAGGCTAGTTGAAAGAATACTTGGAGAATCAAGAGTGGTTGATAATACTTAGGGAACCAGAAGTGGTTTAAGAATACTAGCACTGACGAGTGAAGTTGGCGAACCAGGAGTGGTTAATAATACTTGAGGAACTAGAAGTGGTTTAAGAATACTGGCGCTGACGAGTGAAGTTGGCGAATCAGAAGTAGTTGATAATACTTGTAATCCGTTGTGATTAGTGGAACCCTTCGGTTGAAGGAGACTGGACGTAGCTCAGGTCGAGTGAACCAGTATAAAACTCTTAGCACTCTTTATCTATTTCTCAGATGCAATAACTTTTGTTTAACTAACATATTGTACTAAAAATTTCGTTTGCTACTCATTTTTCACTACAACTATCTTTAAATGAAAAATACACTTGTTTAACTTATTATTTTAAAAAACATTTTCTTTTGCAGACGATAAACTCTCAGACGCAAAACACTTTCGTTGAGCCAACCTTGCACAATTTTTAAAGTGTTCAATGTAATATTCTTACTAGACGAAAAAAATTCTCTTTGAAAAAACGATTTTAAAATTCCTTCGTTCACACACACATTCAACCCCCCTTCTGTGTGTTTTTCCACTAACTTCATTGTTCTCTCTTTCTTTTGAGTTTTTCAAGCTTGTTTATATTGGTGATTGATGAAGATAATTATTGTAAATCCTTAAGTTTCACTCGTTGACTTACT